TCTCTCTCTCTCTCTCTCTCTCTCTCTCTCTCTCTCTCTCTCTCTCTCTCTCTCTCTCTCTCTGCTACTGGGATGGATCTAATACAAACACTTGGGGGTTATTTATAACATTGATTTAGGGTAGGTAAACACTATTAGAGTTAGGTGATTAGTATAGCTAGGTGGGTGTAAAGCTGCTGAATTTCAGCATCTTCAAGTCCAAGAAAAGTGTCCCCAGCCTCATCACAATATTGCTTGGTGAAAAATTACAGAGGTGTTTTATATTTTTTTTAAGGCGATTGACAACATGAGTTTTTGGTGTCAAAACATGCACGAGATTGGTGTGGTAGAGGACAATGGACAAGATGCAGTGTTAGTGGAGAAGTGTGGAAAATACATCTGGAAAGAGGATGCAACAATAATTGAGAACAAACATATGCCCTGTTACTAAATTGTTTCATGCATGCACATCTTTCCTTTACCTCCTATTTAGATCTTCCAACACTTTGTTTCAAGACATCGGAGCAAATGTGGACCTAGTGATTGCCCTTAATAGATAACCTCCTCCTGACTATTAGAGAGGAAAGCTATCAGTTGATGATATCTGTTAGCAATGGAGGAGAGTTGTATGATAAGATAGGTGACTTAGAACAAGAAGATTTGTGGTTCCATCCCTGTGAGTTGGTAAGATATTTCTCAAAAAATTAAATATTTAAGCTACATCATAGCAATCATGGGGCAGGGTATGGCGACTGACTGTATGCTCTTCATCCATAACAAAATTATAAATTTTTACCTTTCTTGATACATTAATATGCAGAGTAGAAATACATCAAACAGTCCTTGTCATCCCTTTCCTCTCACTTTGAAACCAATATATCAGATAGAGTAAGAATCAGCCGTTTAGGGTTGACAGCTGAAAATCATCACTCTCATCCTTTTTCTACCTGGCAAAAGCTCTCTAGATTACCACATATCACAGGGTGCAACATTAAACTTAAAATTTATGTTATTTTTGTAACCTTATCTATAATAAGATTCGAGAGAGACACACTAACAAATTTCTCTAGTAAATCTCTTGAAGTTCGTGCCTTGTCCGTTCAATTTGTCCCTTCATCTTAGGACGGCAGTTTGTTCGCTAACTGGCATGATGGAGAGTGCAATGCGACTATGTGAGATGAGATCAAAGTATGACTTCCATTTTTTGGCACGTATTAACATATCATGCATTGGTGAATTAGTTATAGAAAGATGAAGAACACGAGACGGTAAGAAGGTGATAGAAGATGAAGTATTTTACTTTTGTCATACATAGAGAAATGTACCATTTAGTTCAAATTCCAGTTTTGCTAGATGTAGCCCAGCTGTTTGATTTGCGTTTGTTCTTACTCTTCTCCTTCAGGTTGATTAGGTCTGAGTCACTGATTTCCTACATCAGACTACATTCTTTAATTTGATTTCAGTAATAAATACTCACTTTAATTCACGTGAAAGCCCTTGCTGGTGTGAATACTGAATGTACATTCTAATTGCAAAAAGAAGGTATGCTAATGAGTAATGATGACTAAGGTTTGAGGTATAGGCTGATATTTGATACGTATTGACCATATCATATCAGATTTTAAGCAAGTCAATCAAGGCCAATAGCGTTGATATTTCATAAATGACAAATAATCCGATTTGATATTTTCTAATAACTAGTAATGCAAGATACCTGAGGTTTAAAGCGCAAAATACAATTTGACGGTGTTGAAGGAAAAAACATTTGATTAAACAGACTTATCCTATGCATTGATAATTCCAATCAATCTTTGTCGAAATCGTCCAATTTCAGAACCAGTACACTGATATCAATAAAATGAAAACCAATACCGTTATCAACATATACATTTAAAGGCTGTTTTGAGCATTGTGTTGCTTATGATGTTGGCTGAGTAAGAAATCATAGGTACAAATGGTAAAATAATCAATGTACATGTGCTAAATAGGTTGATACTTCAATAGTTTATTAAGCATGCAACATAAAATGTGTGAAACCTTACTTAGCAATCATGTGAGAAAGGTAAGAAAGTTCATAGTTTGAGCCAGAATCTGTGAAATTTGAATTGTTTCTCACACTTCGAAATTTAGAATCTTCACCTGGAAATAAGGAAGCAGATTATTTTCGCTTAGCTCAACAAATGAAGCATGGACATCATCTTTACAGTTATTGTTCTTGGTCCCCGTTCAACATTAAGCAAGTTAAACTTTTTTTAAGCCTTCCAACCTGGTTCAATACTTGGGGATTTTTTCAGCAAGAGGTCTCGAGGGAAAGGATCTGAAGAATTTATCCCGTTAAATATTTCCTGCGTGACTGTGGTATGGACTGAAAGCAAACCAATGTACTTTTCTATTTTGGAATGTCCGACCCCGGAGCATCCCTTTGATGAACTGGAATAAAGACTGGTAAAGAAGATCTCCCATGAATACACGAAGTGATTAATACTCTGGCCACTTTGTTCTCACGAAATGAAAAAGCAAACTGGCAACTTGATTTATCTTATTCAGATAGACTTTGAATTACACATTCTGTGGCTTAAGATGCCACCTGCTACAAAAATTATAGTACTGACATTTTGGAAGACAAACAAATACAAATGAACTTATATCCATTCACTACTGTTTGTCTGATAATTATCGCACTGTCCAACCATAACTCTTGTGTCAACCGCATGGGATCTTTTATTATATGCCATATTAACAATTGTAGTGGATCATCCAGGGTGGGGAAAAAGAATCAAAGCATGAAGAAGGACAAAAGAGGTTGCGTGATACTGGTCTCCACAATATTGCCTCTACTTGTCTCTAGGAACAATGGTGCCAATATAACCAAATCCCATGATTATGAATGAGATAGCCTGAGGAAAGATGTAGATGAAGTAGTAGTCATCACGATAGACGTAGTCATAGAGAGCACACAATACTAGGTACGCCCCTGCTACGAGCTCCAAGATATGAAATCTGAGGAATGAAGACCATAACTTCAATTACAATCAGTGATTATGGGGGGCAAAAATAAATAAGTAAAACTACAACTTCTTAAATGTTAAAGACTGGATATGACTTCCCAACTAATTTATCATTATCAAGACTCCCTGACACTGTCTATGTACCATAGGCAAGATGCATCGTAGATGTGAAAGAGGGGAACATGTTTACCTCTCCCAAAACTTGCTTTGGAATCTCTTAGCGATACTTGCAGCTGAATTTGATTTCAGTAGGTCTCCTAATTTCTCAGTGACTACCCACTCGTTAGCTCTCCCGGCTTCTAATAAGCCAATGAAGACAGCTTTGCATCGGTGCAGGGCCATTACATTCTCAAACAATACCCAGAAGATGACTAGGTGGATAGATCTGAGACAGAAGGACAGTTAATTAGTCCTCACGTAAGTGAAGAAAGCGAGAACCTTATAAGTGATTTGTAGAAAGGATATTTCAAATTGTTTGCTGTATGCTATGATTAGGAAGGATGAGAAACATGAAGTTTCTAACCTTGGAGTTCCAACACAGTTGAGAAGAGTAATGGTTGTTGGGAGGTAAACCATTCCCCATTTTGGGATTTCAACTTCGGGGAAGAACACAGAAAAAGGGATCACCACACAATAAAAGAAGAATGTGACAGTATGTGATACTATCCTTCGGGCTATGAAAAAGCTGTAGATCACGTAGAATTTCTTCCACAGGGATACTTTCTGCACCAAGAAGGTAAAATATTAGGTTAACTGAATATTTCTTGTGATCTATATATTTATCTAGCAAGGTTCTAAAGAGTGAACAAGTAAACTAGCTCTCTGTCATCAACATGTAAAGTTTAACGTAAGTGAAAAAAAATTTAAATACAACGAGAAGGGAAAACCTTGGCATAAATAACATCCCATAACATTTTTCTGAAAAGATTTGCAGGTCCGCATGACCATCTGTGTTGTTGATAACGATAGGCCTTGAAAGTGCTTGGAAGTTCACTTTTAACCTAGAAATCCCCAAAACAGGATTCATGATGCTCTTTGTAATCAACATTTTGCTAGGTTAGCATAAATACGCAGACAGATTAAAGTTTTACCTGCACGTTGCCTACATAAACAAACTTCCAGGCTTTGAGCCCTGCTCTAACTGCTAAATCCATGTCTTCTACTGTAGTTCTATCTTGCCATCCTCCTGCGTCATTGATGGCCTGGATTCTCCAAACACCAGCAGTTCCTATAGCCACATTTCAGGGATAATGTTTATTCTACAAATTAATTGACATTAACATTTAATGTTTACTCTACAAATTAATTGACATTAACATTTCACATTATTTCAAATTGTTGTCATAACACTTATGTAACCATACTCTTTTGAAGTGAGTGTCATCATTCTTAGGTAGGTTTTTGATGACACAGCTGAAGTTTAGTAATATTACAGCAGAGTACTCCCTTGGTGTCCATTACAATTTTGAAGGCACTTACCATTGAAACCAAAGAATGCGACAGTCGATGAACCTGATTCTTGCTCCACCTTAAAGTGGTAGTCCATTGACATCTCCTGCATCCTTGTCATTAGGCATTCATTGGCATTTACTGCAACACCAGGGAGTTGAAAAAGAAAAAGAGAAAAAGGTATCATGAGCATCATTTAGAAATAGGCTTATGGCAAAGAGATAAATCATTTGTTGATTAAATGTGATGTGTTTATCTTTACCGTAAAGGTATGAGATCCTTTTACTCTGTTACTTTACTAAAGCATAACAGTGGACTTGCAAAAGTAAATATATACTGTAACAACCTTTCATACCTGTTGACTCGTAAAACAGCTTGGTTTATGTGTAATTGTTTATAAGCTGTTAGCTTGCGTGTCTGCTTACCTGATTTAATAGTTTACAAATAGCAAGTATCTGCTGACATAATTCGTTTTCGCACGTGATGGATTAATTATGCAACGTTTGATACAATGATTGAAGAAAATTAATAATCAGTTCTCCAGTGACTTTACATGCATCTCTCAGAGATAGCATTCTCGATACATCTAGCTTGAACGAATAGTTATTTGCTCAAGTTGGCATTAACAGAAATATTATCAGGTCGATCAGTATTTAAATTCGAAAAAAAAACTAGGCAGCTTCTTGAGTTTACTAGTAAGCTCACCAAATTTCCAGCGAGCTTGCACAAGAGCAATATCTGGATTGTGAACAAGAAAAGGGATTGTTCTCATGAGAAAATCGGGTGAAGGTTGAAAATCAGCATCGAACATGGCGACATATTCGCATGGCTGCACATAATCATATGTCATCCCTACTTTGAGGGCACCTGCTTTGTATCCGTTCCTGTTATTCCTCGTCTCGTATTTAATATTCTTTCCTTTCTTTAGCCACTTCTCGCACTCATTTCTCACCAATTCCTGTAATCAAAGGATATATAGAATCGAGTAATTAGTAGAGCCTCTACGTAGAACAATTCTGAAGCCTGCGCAGTTGTACAGGAAGTCTGGAGTTCAAGTATCCTAACATCCTAAATGGTTTAATATGGAAGTTGAGAAGAGGTAAGCAGCTAAGTAGCTTTGGATATTGGTGCTATTCAAATTTCTAATTGTGTTAGTAAACAAGTGGGTGATTAATTTTGTCAACTAACTAATCCAACTGACAAGATCCAATTTAATTAATGGCTAGAGATGTCTAAAAACAGAAGCATATGCTCATCAGCGAAACGTGAGCCGTGACAGGTGGGGAATAATTCCAGAGTCCCCAGCAAGAAGAGTGATGAAGTCAAATATTTACCTAGTCAATCACTGCTAAAACTAATTCAAAGAAATCCAGACAGCTAAAAATGTTTAACTGCTGGAACTTGCTAAAATCTTCATATTTATTAATTAAAAAATTTCACCCCACTTCTATTTAAATGCGGTGCATGATACAGGGATTTTCCAGCTGCTATTAAAAATTGCCAATAGGTGTTTAAATAATGCCATCTACTCTAGTTTATGTACTGCACCAGTCATAATCTCACCCCTAATAACGCGAACATCGGAGAATGTAGACCATTTACTTGATTAACTTGGTGGGGGCAATATGATAAATGTGTCTGATTGTTACATGATTATGGTTAAAAACTTTTAGATACAAAACAACGATCATTTCCAGCACAGGGACCGCTAAAAAGGTTTTTCGGGGGAGAGAGATAATTGAGTAAAATTCAAACCTTGATGATTGGATCTGTAGAATCGTCGAGAACTTGAATTATGATCCTATTGCTAGGCCATGATATGTTACATGCAGCTCCTACAGACAGCTGGTACACCTGCGTTTTGAATTGCTCATCATATTAGTTGATGATTAACTATGACAAATGATTCCGGTTAACAAATCCATGCTATCTTTTGGTTGAAAAAAATACAAGGAGAGGAGAGTTCATGAGAGAACGATGCGACCTCACCTCCTTCTCATTGTACATAGGAACTTGGACGAGAACCATAGGGTAAGCTAAGTTTCCGGTCTCCTCATCCCCCGCTATAGGATCACATTTATATATCCTCTGTGGCCTGCGCCGAAATACCTTAGCATACAGGCTCGCAGCACACATTGATACCTTTTCAATAAACACCATTATCGACATCACCAAGCACAAGATCACAGCAAAGTTCACCATTGGAATGATCACCTTCTCTCTGATCTTCCACCATATCAACCATATCCCCTCATGGAAGTCAATTTCCGCCACAGAGAAAAGAAGCTCGTATCCCTTATTAGCCACAAGGACTAGCACCCGAGACAATTTGGCTACATTGTTTGAAACAAAACCAACACTATATATGTTAGTAGCGAAGAGAAACATTAAGATTTTTTTTTTTTCACATGCGATGAAGTAGAAGTCGGTACTAAAGAAGACAGTAGTAGTATTAGTACCTTCCATTAAGTAGCTTAGCCTTCTTCTCAAACTCCACTCGTATAAACGTGTTAGTTAGAGAGAAGGCTATGGGTGCGACTTTCTCCTCTGTGGTTTTGGCCTTTTTATACTACAAAGAAGTGCCTACTTTAAAAAAAACCATGTGTGAGATCTGAACACGGTGAGACTCCTACATTATTTCGGTATAATTGCTCTAATCTTATTGTCTTTTTTGGAGCATATATAATTGATAATAATTGTTTAGTGATTGAGAAAACTCATGGATGATGATTGATTAATCTTGGCATAATGTTTTAGAAGGTGCACACATTTCATATCAGAAGGATGCGATGCTGCTGTGTTTTACTCGCGGTGAACCATTGCTCGTGAAATTCTAACTAAAGTGTGGTCAGACGCTGGCTGGAGTTTCGATCATGTCATGCTGACAATCAAACTAAAGGCCCCTCTAGGGAATTGAAAAACATTAATCAGAATGACACAAAATCAAAAGAGAGAGAATACAAAGAAGGAAGTGTTGGTTTTGGTCGTGTGAAGAACGAAACCTGAAACAATTCTGCGAGGCTGAAAAATCGCGGGTTGGTCGACCGACTGAGGAGATCCGGTCGACCGAAGAGACTGCAGAAAACGAACTCAGGAACATGCTCTGGCCGGTCGACCAAAGCTGTGTTGTCGGTCGACCGAGGATGACCAATCGGTCGACCAAAAAGGTGCACGAAAACCTTGTAAGAAACTGCTTTCTGGCCAATCGACCAACACACATGGTCCGGTTGACCGTAATCGGTTTTTCCAGTTTCCTGATTCGTTTGGGAAACTGTTTTGGGCCAGTATGCTATATATACCTAAACGGTTTTAGGGTTAATAGCAACATAGAAAAAGAGGGTTTTAAGAGGATTCTTTCAGAGAGATCTCAGAGAGATAAAAACATATTTGTGGGCATTGTAATTTACTTCAATTAATTAAGTTTTTGTGGTGTGGCTCCTGAAGACGTCGGCACGTTTGCCGAACCTCGTTAAATCTGGTGTTCTCTGATTTGATTATTCTTTCCTGCAAGTTTTTCTTTTATTAATTTGTTGTGATTTCCTACTTGTTAAACTCTTAACACAAGATCCGTAAGGGCACGGGTTCGATTGTGTGTTCGAATCCCCAACAGGAAGTATCATTTTGCATCTGCTCAATATTGCCGAGTGAGGACATCTTCTCTCGTGGGGTTAAGACAAAAAAAGCGATTTACAGTCTTTTAGACGTAGAAGAATTAAATAGTTGTACAAGGGATGTTCTCTCAGCACCAGAACAAATGCAGCCAATGACCAATTGATCCATGGGTAGCATGCATGCGTGTCAAATTGTTTTGGTAGGCAGGACTCATTTTTCCAAAGATAATTAATACTGCTTGTTAGAATGAACATTAGACGAGTTTAGTTTATTTTGTTTACAGGCATTTAACATACGCATTTCTTGCCTTGTACTCAAACCTATCATCTATACAATAGGTTGACATGGCTCATGAACAATATCTCTCTCTCTCAATTTTCTTTCTACACTAGCAAGCGTACGGGCAAAACAACGGCGATGCACTACAATTGTGAGGGCTCCTAATTTGGTGACTGTTGGATTGGACCACAAATTTTAACCAAGAACATGAATAATTCATTTTGGACCCGAACTTTGGGACCCCCTCGGGGGAGACTTGAGAAATAAACTACCGAAGGGGCAATTTCGGAATTTCAAAAAATTAAAGTCGTGTTCTTTTGCCTTTTCTCCTGACGAAAAGAACAATTAAACCCCCTCATCCAGCATGGATTTTCGCCAATCGAGACCCTACCCGAAACAATCCGGAACCATGCCCAGCTGAGTTGATTTATTTTATCGGTGAGTGATAATTAGCCATGGGAATCCCTCCATAATAGCTATTACCCTTTTTTTTTATGCAAAATGCATCAATATGCCACTGAAAGTGACAGCAATTAAGGACCAATGAAACAAAGATCTCTTATGTCAAAAATACCCATATTCTCTTTTAATTGAGATTAGTGAACGCCAGATATAATGATATGTTTGGGAGTTTACTAAAGGGTAGGAGAGGAAATGTAAGTTGGGGAAAGGAAAGATACGGCAAATATAATATCTTGTTTGGGAGTTTTATAAGGGGAATAGGGGTGAACTTAAATTATGTTTGTTGTGCGCAGCGGAAATTTCGGTAGAGTTTCTGGTGCACAATAATAGAGAAAGATCCCAATAAGAATTACCGTCTCACCAAGAAGACAAGAATCTGAAGCGGATATCTCAACAAGGTGAGATATCGGCTCTTCCTCTCATCAGTTCTAGGACTGACCTGTCGAGGGATCCTAAAACTATTACAATGGCCACAAACTCAAACAAACCAATTTTACGTGGTTCGGCAAACTGCCTACGTCCACGGGGCAAGGAGGGGGAGATCTACTATTAGAGGGAGAGAACACAACTAGGGTTTACAATCACTCAATCTAAACCCTTTCATAAACTCTCAGATCCCTCACACAAATACTCTCTCAAATAGATACACAAATCAAAGAACAGCTGCAAAAGGACTTTGCTTTTTCTTTGTGAATAGCCGCCAAACACCTCTGTACGCTGCCCTGCTTTTCACCTGCACCCAGCCCCTCTTTGCTCTCAGCCGCCTTTTTCTTTTGTTCTGTACCTTTTCCTCCTTCCTTCGCACACACGAAAACCTAGAAAAACTAGGTATTTATAGGCCCAACAGAAGAAAACGCGGTTTTAGGTGGGCTTGTGGGTAGCAACCAGTGGTTAAAACCCGCTGAACAATCCTTATCTCCTCATACCACATCACTTCATGAGACATCCATTTAACCGCTGGACTCATGTGATCCCCCCACGTGATTCATCAATCAACAATTCTCCACCTCGGTGAAGTTTTCCCAAAACTGAGCCGACACCAACCAAAACAAATGTCCCACTTGTTGCATCCAGTACGCCACGGCAACGGACTCATGACAACGGACTCCATCCACACAAGTCGAGACCCAAACGGGAGTGCGAACACTCACCCAAATGTCGGTATCTACTCACCAAATCAATCTCACCCCCCATCAAATAATCCAACATGGCTGCATCATAAAGACTGCCTACGTATCCTCTTGCCCAAGGAATCAAACCTTACGTAGTTCACCCAAATGGCCGCTAACGACCTCAATCCAATAGAAGAGTTCGCAACCCTTCTCCAATATCATCAACTCTACGGCTGATAGCACCTCCAATGGCCTCAAACACCTCCACCTGAGGCGAACCAATGGCCATATCCAAACTATGTCTGCCAGCTGCACTCGATTCAAAACCCAACTCATCATCTGCAAAATGACTTCCACGCTGTGTCACCTCAGCTGGAATTCCAACCAATGCAGAATGACCTGGAGTATGTGGGAAAATCCCTACCCAATGTGGAGTAGCATCACTCTCCACCCGCTGCGATACCTCTAAGGTCTGTCCAAAACTCTCCACTTGCTGAGAGTCAATTAGCTTCCTCATCGAAGCCTCAACCAAAGTGACACTACCAGACCTATCTTCCAATGGATTTTTACCTCCAATCACAGCAGTTGACAACTCTTTAATAGGATGACCCAAATATGTCGAAGCCTCTGTCCAAAAACTCTTCTGCAGACCATTGCTTGACAACAAACACCGATCCTCCTCCAGCAAGGCACGGTTCTCTAAATTTGTCACTCTATCTAGTTGTCGCAAGATTTCCTTTCCAACGAAGTGTCTCGAAATGCCGTGAGCTCGGCTCCAATACAGAAACAGGTCCATCTTGTATCTCCCACCAGAATAGAGTACCTTCACCTTTCTGTCTATCACACACTTCTTCAATCTGTTGGATACTACTAGGAATTTCTCTAAAGGGGATTTGGTTGCAACCCAAACACGCCTAGAACAGTCACCAACAAAAGAAATCAAATGCCTATTACCTCCCAATGATGCCCCCTTGGAAGGCCCCCAAACATCCACGTGAACTCCTTTAGAACGACCATTAGCACGGTGAATAGAGGTGCCACACTTCACCTCGGTCTTCTTGCTCACATCAACATGTTCACTGGACTTCAAACTACAGGTCTTCGCACCCTCTTTCAATCTATGCGAGGAATCAATACTGGAATGACCAAGCCCCAAATGCCGCAGTTTAGTCGAATCAATAGAAGTCGCCAGTTCTCCACCTGCCACTATACCTCCAGTCAAGTAATACAGGTTATTCCTCCTGGCGTCCTTCATCATAATCCGAGAGTCTTCCACAATCTTGAGAACCATGTCCTTAATTCGAACATTCAGACCCTCTCCAACCAAAGCTCCAATTGAGATCAAGTTCTTCCTCAAAGAATGAACATATCTCACATCATTTAACTCCCTAACAGTCCCGTCAAACATCTTTATGCGAATTCTTCCTATCCCAAGGATCTGGCATGCACGGTTATCAGCCATGTACACCACACCACTATCCAGCTTCTCAAAACTGGAGAACCATTCCCTTCTAGGGCACACATGATAGGTCGCACCACTATACAACATCCACTCGGATTCCTCCGAATAGCTCCATGTAGGACTAATAGAAAGCGAATAAATAGAAGAGTCAGAATTATTACCATCCGATACGATATTTGCTTCTGATGATGGTTGCTTCCCTTTTTCCTTCTGCTTATTCTTCATCCATTCGTCGAGCTTTGGGCAATCTTTCTTTCAATGACCAGTCTCTTTGCACCAAGCACACTGATCTTTTCCAACTGTAGGATGCCCTACTCTAGACTGTGACTTCCAATTCTTCCGGTTCGGATTCTTCCCTCTTACGACCAACGCCTCTGCTACCGGCTCAACTGAAGCCTCCTTATCCTTCTTTCGAAGCTAATAATTCACAAGTGCAGCAGTGACCTCACTATACGAAAGTGATGCCTTCCCATTAATCAGAGTAAGAACCAGCAGTGACCTCACTATACGAAAGTGATGCCTTCCCATTAATCAGAGTAAGAACGAAGGTCTCATATTTCTCGTCGGGCAAGGAACTCAACAACAAATGCCTTCCCATTAATCAGAGTAAGAACGAAGGTCTCATATTTCTCGTCGGGCAAGGAACTCAACAACAACAACGCCTTGTCCTCATCCTCAATTATGACATCCACATTCGCCAAATCCGCAAGAAGTTTCGTGTAGTGGTTCATGTGATCTCTAATGGAGGTTCCCTTCTTTAATTGGAAACGATAAAGCCTCCTCTTCAAATGCAAGCGATTTTCCACACTCTTGGTCAAATACTTGCTTTCGAGAATCTCCCAAATCTTCTTCGCAGAAGTCTCATTCATCACATCATATTTTAGATCTTGAGTCAAATAAGACCTAATCACACCACACGCCATTCGATTCATCTTTTTCCAAACCTTCTCTTCAATCTCATCTGGCTTGCCATCTAACTCCAAGGTATCCTCCAAATTCTGCGCATTCAGCGCATCCAAAACCTCGTATTTCCATAATCCAAAGTTGTTTGTGCCATTAAATTTCTCCACATCTATCTTCAAAAACTGGATATTCAGACTTTGAATGGTCTTCGCGCCAGAAGCACCTCCCTCGACACCCGAAGCACCTTCTTTCCCTGACATCTTACGCACCAATGAACGAAGAATAGATCCAAAACTAAAAAGATAGAGTCTTTACCAAAAGATCCCACCTTTATCACCAACGAAGCCCTAAACGAGCCTTCAAATTGATCTACTCCTCCAACCAAACCCTAGATCTGAAATCTGGGCTCTGATACCACTTGTTGTGCGCAGCGAAAATTTCGGCAGAGTTTCTGGTGCACAATAATAGAGAAAGATCCTAATAAGAATTCCCGTCTCACCAAGGAGACAAGAATCTGAAGCGGATATCTCAACAATGTGAGATATCGGCTCTTCCTCTCATCAGTTCTAGGACTGACCTATCGAGGGATCCTAAAACTATTATAATGGCCACAAACTCAAACAAACCAATTTTACGTGGTTCGGCAAACTTCCTACGTCCACGGGGCAAGGAGGGGGAGATATACTATTAGAGGGAGAGAACACAACTAGGGTTTACAATCACTCAATCTAAACCCTCTCATAAACTCTCAGATCCCTCACACAAATACTCTCTCAAATAGATACACAAATCAATGAACAGCTGCAAAAGGACTTTGCTTTTTCTTTGTGAATAGCCGCCAAACACCTCTGTACGCTGCCCTGCTTTTCACCTGCACCCAGCCCCTCTTTGCTCTCAGCCGCCTTTTTCTTTTGTTCTGTACCTTTTCCTCCTTCCTTCGCACACACAAAAACCTAGAAAAACTAGGTATTTATAGGCCCAACAGGAGAAAACGCGGTTTTAGGTGGGCTTGTGGGTAGCAACCAGTGGTTAAAACCCGCTGAACAATCCTTATCTCCTCATACCACATCACTTCATGAGACATCCATTTAACCGCTGGACTCATGTGATCCCCCCACGTGATTCATCAATCAACAATGTTGTTTGAGATTCCAACTCTACCCTTTTATTTGAAATAAGAAGAATAACAGCTTCAGAAACAGATCAGATAAAAAAAGGAGTGGGGTCTGAAAGGTGACATTTGCATAACCATCAAATTCTAAATTAGGTATTCCAGAATAATATTTTTTAATGAGTCACAAGTTGGGAGAAGCGCTCCTTAAATTTACAATCTGTTTCTTTATCTAAACAGAAACATAGATCCTGTTTCTATCCGAGTATTTGAGAGAATAATCATGCACAACAAAACAAAATCTAATCTTCCATGTATCCCCCCCAAAAAAAAAGTATAACCTGAATATTACAGTACATTTATCTCAAGATGAAAAATATTGCAAATCTGAAAAATAAATAAATAATTAAGCTCTCATGAAGTAGGGAAAAGTAAACAAATGTCAATAAACTGTTCTGTCCAATCTATATTGGCTTCTGAATTATTGCATACATAGCTAAACAAAGGCAAAAGTGTATGCCAAGCAATACAATTGGAAACGTTGAGCAATGCATTGCAGTACATGTTCATTTAAACAAAAAGCTCTTCTTTCTTCGTTGATGCATCTTTTCCTTGCATTGGATCTCCTATGAGCCTATGCAGCTGAATCTGATTGGAGATGACATGTATAAAACTACATTGTAGCTAATCAAAGAGAACTTGAAAGATATGCCTATTGGCTGATCAATCCTAAAAATTTAGAGCATCCTCTGAATCACCATCGTTTGTAATATATAGCCGGATTCTGCTACCAATCGACTCCGGATAACACTCATTTACCGGAAATGATCACCTTCTGGAGGACAAAGAAGGTAGCAAAAAACTGATGCTAACTATATTATTCCTCGCATTCCGATTTACTTTCACTCACACTCAACTACTAAGAAAATACTACAATTCACTCAAAATCGTAAGGTAGACTTGACGGTAATCACATTGTCCCCAATATTCCGCTGTACTTTCGACCTCCTACAAGTTAGGGACAATGGTGCCAACATATCCAAGACCCATGATGAAGAATGCAAGTGATTGTGGAAATATGTAATAGCAGAATTTACGCCTTCCATAGTTGTAGTCATAATAGGCACAAGTAAAGAGGTATGCTGCTAGCCCCAACTCCGGAAGGAGAAGCCTAGAGGAGAATAATAGCCAATGCCAATTTCAAGTCAGGATTATTCCAGACTATTTAAGGCATTTGAGAGCTGAATCAATTTGATATTTTATAGAGAACACATCCAAGAGGAACATACCTTCTCGTGATCATCCACTTAAATCTTTTGGCTGCTTCTTTGATGGTGCTTGCCCTTGGAGCCGACCCTAACTTCTCGGTCACAATCCACTCATCCACTTTGCCTACCTCCAGTAAACCTGTTATAGCTGCTTTCATCCGATGCATAGACATTACATTCTCAAAGAAGACCCAGAGGATTAATAAGTGGATGGATCTGTGAGCACAAGTTACGATACACTTTATGAATTAATGAACGATTGATCATGTATTAACTCGAGCTTCAGGAAATGTATAGCCAAATAAGGTTCATACCTTGGCGTTCCAACTGAATTTAGAATTGTAATTATTGAAGGAACATAAACCACCCCCCAATCTGGAATATCAACCTCAGGGACAAACACTGATGCCGGTATTATAACGCAGTACAGCATGAAAGTGATGAGGTGGCCGATAATCCTTCGAACAAAGAAGAAATTGTACAGCATGTAGATTTTCTTCGCCACAGACACTTTCTGCAAGATATATTCAGACCACAAATACCAAAGGTATCACAGAAACTAATTATCATTAAACAAACACAAAACTAGTATATCAGTATAGTAAAGGTTTGTTGGTATAAGTTGCTGGCTCATTTGTCAAATGAGCTACCAAGATATAAAGGTGACGAGGCCCGTATATCCGATGTGACTAGCAAGGTGAGCCTTGCCTCTTGTCCATTGGCAGTTCATTTAGAAAAACTAGTTGCCACTTCATATATCCATTATTTCCACACAGTAATTGTGTAGTGATTGCTAAAAGGTTTATACTATAAATCCCTTTCTAATCAGCACGATAAAAACACAGGTAAACAACAAGCACAGACAGTACATGAATACCACAACCTATCATGTACCCACCACTTCCTAAAGTTCGGGTACTCATTCATTCAGTCAGCCCAAAAAAAAACTATGATGTTATTGGCTTCCAAAAATAAAAGATGATAAAATTGTAATATGAGGCACATTCTTTTTCCCATATAAATGGAGACAACTTATTCTCACGTTTTATTTAAACCGCGTATTATATATTCAAGAAAGAGTTGAACATGCTGACCTTTGTCCTCAGAATCTCTCTTACTGCTTTTCTAAACAAATTGGCCGGTCCACAAGCCCACCTGTACTGCTGATTTCGGTAAGCATTGAATGTGCTTGGCAGTTCACTTTTAACCTGCAAGGCACGCCAAACAGAAATCACTTTTAACATGCAACTTGCTTTTCGTTTAATTTATATTTCCCATTTCAAGAAAATTTACGCTCGAAATGAAATCAAAAGTTCATGTAATAATTTATATTATACAAAATAAGTACCTTAACATTGCCTGTGTATACGAATTTCCAACCTCTAAGACTTGCCCGAACTGCTAAATCCATATCCTCTACAGTTGTACGGTCATTCCAACCTCCTGCATCTATCAGAGCCGATATTCTCCAGACACCAGCGGTTCCTATAATGAAAAGACTCACATTCTTGCTTTTTTCCTAACCCCTCCTCACCTCAAAAGTTATGTAGAATGAACTTTAGAACGAGCCTACTGAAATATAAGCGCTCCTACAGTGATATATTTGGATTCAACTTGCTGGACTGAAATTTATTTGAAATTTGATAAGCAATGAACTTCGATTCAGATGTTCTTTCAATTTAAAGATTTAAAAAATTCACTTATTCAAATTCACCATTCTTTTCACCCTAAAAAATTGTATTATTTGCTTCCACGCCACCAATAGATTAAGCTGTAACATTACATCAGAGACGAAAAAAGTTAAACTAGTGTCACACATGTTGTTACTTCCTTTTTTCATCTTTTATCCAAATTATCACCCTCTTGTATTCCCAGCCAACAATGAACAGTAAGACCTCCTTTCCTTAAAGGACTCCTGCTACAAATCATCTTGAGAGGGAAACTATTCCTTACTCAAATTCTATATATGAACGGACCTTTCACATAGAAATTAAATATTTACTTATCACAAGACATTCCACACACATTTTGCTTACCATTGAAACCAAAGAAGGAGCACATTGTTGAACCCGACTCTTGTTCAACCTTAAAATGGTAATCCATTGACATCTCTTGCATCCTTGTCATTAGACACTCATTGGCGTTAACTACAAAAACAGTTTCAGAAGTTAGATTTTGACTAAATTTTCTTAAGAAAGCAAAAGAAGATAAATGTGCATAAACATATGTGACATATATCTATGTCAGCGACATATATCTATGTCAGACATACATCTATGTCAGCATCAATAGCATCATTCAAGCTATATGCAACCATAACTCTCTTAGCTATAGGAACAACTTAAATTCTAGTCAAGGCACACCTAGCAATACAGGACCATGCCACGAAACTTAAAAGGGCACTTCTTGTGCATAGAGACCTACCTTGTAGGTTATACAATTTATGTCTATGAAACCAGAAAGATCCCCCAATTCATCTTTGATTGGAAGTAAAAAAAAATATGAGTTGAGATACTGCCATCAAATATTCTAGGGAAATCTGAATTATCTTCCGGATACAAAAAATATACAAGAACTACATAGATTCACAGAGAAAGTATATGCATGCTGTACTAATACTTGGAGACAAAAGGATACTATTTTAGAACCAAATGTACTCACCAAATATCCATCGTGTCTGAACTAGAGCTATTTCTGGATTGTGGAACATAAAGGGAATAGTTTTCATCAAAAAATCAGAGTCAGGTTGAAAATCTGCATCAAAAATGGCCACAAAATCACAATCGTCGACGTATTTGTGTTTCATCCCTTCTTTCAAAGCACCTGCTTTGTATCCATATCTGTTGTTCCTTATCTCATACTTAATGTTCACGCCATTGATAGCCCATTTTCTGCATTCTTGCTGCACTAGAGTCTACCATTGAGGGGAAATTAATGTGTCAGCAAGAACCAAAAACTTCTAAAAATAACTTAACAAGTTGACAATCCAGTGGAAACACAAGAGATGAAGTAATTGTGCTGACATTTTGTACGCTCACAGTTTCTGAAAATAGACTTATATTCACAAAGCAAGAATGTAGTCTAAATTGTAACTGAAAAGAGAAACAAAAAAGAGAAGAATACAGGAGCTTCAAAGCACTTATCCCGCACAAAAACACATCCCTGGAAACTTGAAGGTCCTGTTTCAACTAAAGAAGGTGGAGCATGCACTTTCTTTTTTTTTGGCCCACCCACAAATTTACATTGTTTTATGTAGAATATAGACCCAAATACCTAAATGAGTCATACAAGGTTTTCCTCTTTTTTCCTTTTCTTTTGAGGGATGTCATGCATGCTGAGAATGGACTACAGAAGAAAAATAACCCATGTAAAGCAAGGCTAGGCATTAAATAACCACTACCATTATATGAAATCTCTGAAGTTATGGTAAGAACTGAGAGAGATATATCTATATTTAATACTCTTTATGGGCTAAAACCTGTATTTTGTTTAATCTGCTTTTGTGTCCTTCTGACCATTAGACAAGAGTGGCTATTATATTAACTTAAAGTACTCACCACCACAAAAATTTATGTTACTGTGAGAGCTGAGTGATATAGAGTTATATTCTAACAATGAACACCAAGCTGAGCCAGATTAATCTGTCTTTATTTTTCTCTTCGATATCTGCTTCTACTCCAAACCTGACGTTACAATTTATGATGCAATCTTAAATCCTTAGACGTTATTGTTTTTCAAAAAAAAAAGTCATAGTACAAGCATGAAAAATTGAGGCCCGTCAAGACACAGGCAATATCAAAAACGCGTTTTGTAGCATATTCGGAGAAGCCCGTAATTTAAGATTTAGTCAGGGTTAGGATCACGATAATATTATGAGCAGTTAAAATGAAGCATAAGGTGTATGACATGCTAAAGTGGAGAAGCTGTCAATCTTCCACCAGGAATAGGAAACAGCTCCTACCTGCGACTGCAAACACCTATAAACTAAAGATAAACATAAGAAAAATATATAGTACACAATGATCAAGTTTCTAAAAACAAAATTATGGTCCATAAGATTTTTTGCAAATGAAGATGGAAAATGAATTCACCTCCTCCCTGTTACAAGGTAAACATGATCATCCAGCTCAGCACATTGCCTTGGATGAAGGAAACAGCTTGAAACTCACCTCCTATCCTATTGTCTGGACTCGTGATACTTACACTCAAATGTATTCAGTTCCAGGCAGTTTAAGAAATACTTCAGAAAAAAGGTATAAAATATGGAACTAAACTATACAGAAAAAAATAATAATTTTTATTCACCTTAACTTCAGGATCAGTTGAATCATCAAGCACTTGGATTATTATTCGGTCAGACGGCCACAGGATCCTACATGCAGCTCCAATTGAAAGCTTGTACACCTGCAACTCAGAATTTTGCAAAATTAACCAACTCTACTAAAGAAAATAACAAGGAGTTAACACAAAATTAGATGCAAGGGGTTATAGAGCTTCACCTGCTTTTCATTATACATCGGAACTTGGACAAGGACCATGGGATAGGCTGAGGTGCCAATCTCCTCATCATCTCTTATCGGCGCACACTTGTATATCTTCTCTGGCCTGCGCCGGAATATCTTTGCAAAGAGACTAACGGCACCCATCATCACCTTCTCGATCATCAGCATCACTGAGAGTATGAGGCACAGTGAGACAGCGAGCCTCAGCATTGGAGCCACTGTAGTTGCTCGGAGCTCAACCAGCATTATCCCTGTTTGGTCCATTACTAAAGACTAGCAGGACCAAGGAGTTGTTGCGTTCACAACAGATGAAAAAGATACAGAAGATTTAAACACAATCCTGCCTCAAAGATTCCCACTGGCATACTACAAGTCTAGTAAGTATTAAATAAAATTAATTAAGATAGTTAATTCAGATACTTTCCTTTCTAGAAAATCTTCTCTAGCATTTAATGACAAAGATGGGAGGTATCCATGGGAAATATGATTTAAAAATTATTTTAAAATTAAAATTATAAAAGTTTGTTCCTGCTTTATCAAATAGGAAAGTGGGCATTCATGAATCTTCTGCTGGAATATTAGCTGGTTTCCTTAACAGGAAAAGGAGTATGAACCTAAATCATTTTCATTTAAAATATAACTCGTTGGAATATCAAATTCATCATTTTGCAGGATAAACATGTGTTTTCTTGCAAAGAAGCAAAAGGAGTAAAATTAAGGATTAGATGAGTCATACAGCAAAGACATTAGTACACGTACGATGGTTTTTCTCCGTAAAGGGAGATAGAGAAAAACCATAAATAACTTCTATCTCCCTTTTGGAGAAAAGAGAAAACCCATAACAATCTTCTATGTCCCTTACAGAGGAAAATCATCATATGTGTAAAGGGAGATAAATGTGTACAATGGCATTCCGTAGAAAATTTGATCTAGCTTTCAGCACGCTTCTGCATCATAGAAAGAAAGGATGGACTGCATACGTAGATAAGTAAATGCATTTCTTAACATGCAGTTGGAAATGTTTGCACATAGGGGGGAAATGGCAAGTAAAAGAGTGAGGATTTAAGGACTTGAGAAAAGAATACATGTGTAATTGTTATTTATTAAGACGGATGTTCAGCAGTAGAGATTCCAAGGGCATTCCATTGAATATGTGATAGTTAAACAGGGGCTTCACATAATTGAAAATTACTGCATAGTTCATCGTATGATAATATTGACAACAAACCATGTGTTTTTTATATGATAAAAATATAACCATATGCAAAGATGAAGGTTATCTAATTGTTAAAATCATATCAGGAAAATAAAATCATGTATATGGCACAAAATATGTCCAAAGCAACCAATACATTATAGCCAATAAATTTCCAACCACCCCCTGTATTGTACTTTACAAATCAAGAGCAGAACAAACTATTTGAGACCTTAATGCCTACAACAATAAATATTAAGAAGTAAATACAGAAACAAGGGAAAAAATCTCGAAGATCAAATAAATGTATAGAAGAGAGGCTGAAAAAGAAGAAATTGATATATATTTAAAAGTATAATCATAATTTCGACAAATTGTTGATAATCTCAAATTGTAAATGATCTTACCTTTGCTTACACAAGTCATAACAAATCTTACATGTGACTAAACCATTTAAAATACTCCGGAATTTGAAACATGTTGTTCATGACTTATTCAGGAATTCCCATAAGATGTCAATTAATTTATGCTATTTGCTGCTACAACGTTAAGGTTGCATGCCCCTATTCTAGCAAGTGATTTATATGACAAGGATACACATTTGCTTTTGAATTATCTAATGATGATCTGTTTTCTTTCCTATCCAATTTTGTTCGATGTTCGTTTTGACAAACCTGGCAAGGGAAAACTTCAAGTTCCTATAATAAGAAAGCTCTATTAAATCCGATGGCACTGTTAGGACCATCTGAATAAGGTATTGCAATTACAAAATTACAAATGCTCCTACAAGAAGGTAATTATTTTGTTACATTGTAGCTCAATCAACAGATAGGCTTTGGACTTAACATTATCTTGTTACATTGTAGCTCATCCATTTCTATTCATGGGAATTCTAAGACATATGATGCACAAAATCCACATAAATATATTCAAACACATTGGAATATGGACATAGATATCTTCACACATTTCCTAGATTGCAAATTAATATACGAATATGCATGATATACTATAACAAGAGAGGTTGATCAAAACTATGAAATTATTCTTGGGAAATTTTCATTAAATAATTTTCCTATCTAATAGGCAACATTTGTATAAGAATATTACAAAAGTTTATACATCCACACCTGTGGCAATATCAAGCGAAAACATCACAGTGTTAGAATTTCTTTTGTGATGCAGTAGCATTGTGCCATGATCACTAAAAGAATGACAGATTCAAATAAGATTAAGCACTGATGTTTCTTTGAACATTATATTGTAAGTGTTTCTTGCTAGTTGGGGATGAAGGTTCCAACATAACCGAGACCCATGATGAGGAATGCAATGGATTGTGGGAAGATGTAGAAGTAGTAGTAGTTCTTCCCATATGCAAAGTCATAGCACGCACATGCTAAAAGATACACTGCCATCCCCAGCTCCGGAAGAAGAATCCTGATAAAGAGTAATTCCATATTTCAAGACTAAGTTCAAAATGACGAATCATCCATACATGACATGTTTGATATCTGGCAGCTGTGTGCGTGTGTGCGTGTATGCGTGTGTGTAAGTGTTATAAAGAGTGTCACTAAGCGTCTGCTTAACTGCTTTGGGCCCTTAGCCACTTTCCACTTGAAAAAGCCCATCCAAAAGCGGACATGCCATGTAAAGCATCCCAAAACGACCACTAAACACAAAAGCGCCACCATAACATTTTCTTGTCATAATTTACATTAAGTTATTAACTTCTTGGCTATTCGATGTACATAGCCCACTACATATTAGTTTATCGCATTACAATGTGTATAATATTTTGTTAACAATGTGTGATTGAATTATGTTTTGTTACACATCTATTTCCTGCTTAGGATCTCGATAAATATCACATATGCATTTGTACAAATTTTTTCCTCCAACTTTTTATTGTTTTATTACTTTTTAGTGTTTTTCTTGATATTTCCTTTTTTTAATTTTTGATTTTATCCCTATTTAAAAAGAAAAAAAACGCTTGATGCTTTTTCTCGCTTAAGCCCCAAAAAACCTAAGTGACACATTGTCGCTTCACTTTGCTTTCCACAACCATGGTGTGTGTGTGCGCGCGCCCACATGCATGTCACTGTGTCTTCAAGTGAAATAAGACCACATATTACAAGGCCGATTCACAGATGAGAAATAAATTACATCATTGTTAATTGCTTGATACATGGAAAAACAATAGTGTTGATACATGTTGAGAGATGTTACATAACGTGGTTTAGTCCCACATCGGGCATGAGACCAGACTTGTATCTACAGTTAAACTATATATAGAGCAGAGTATGAGGCCTTAAGCTCATAACTCCTTTTTCTCCAAATCTCTGATATTAACATGGTATCAGAGCCAAGTTAAAAAAAAAGGTACCAACCGCCACCGTCCTCCTTAGCACAGCCCGCACCC